TGTAACACATAAAAATCCTCATCCCATAGATTGGGACATCCCAAATGTCCATGCTCTCATGCCATTTTATGGGGGAGGTACCCCGGATTCTCAAAATGAAATGACCCCAGTCCACTGTAAATACTTTTTCTGGGGTGAAGATTTAATATAGGAAGTATCTTCCTGGTGGCAACTGCCCGTATTGGTCTCTCTCTCTCTCTCTCTCTCTCTCTCTCTCTCTCTCTCTCTCGTTAGTGGAGAGATCTAAATGTATCATGGATTTCCATCTGCATACCTTGCTGCTATTCCACTAACAGTATATTTGAGTCATTTCCTTAGTTTATCTATGTTTTATTCAACATTCTCAGAAGTTTCTCCCACAAACAAACATATGGCACAGAGGTATACACTGAGAAAAGGGGAGCACATGCATTTCCATGCACAGCATGATAAGTACTGTACAGTGTACTTTTTGTCATTGGAATTCAATGAATTGCCTGCAATAAATATAGTAAGGGGGGAAAAGGTGGGGGGAGTTCCATCATATGTGCCAGTTGAAGAATTTTAAGTACAAGTACTTTTGCTCTATTGAATGGAAAGAGACCTCTGTAGCATTGACATACCTTTCAGCTTTACTAACATAAGCTGAGATATCTGATAAAGGCAAAGGTGCACAATGGGTATCGAAAGTCTCACATTTTTCCAGGAGCCTATGGATCCCCTCCTTTTTATTGTGCTATTCAGACAGCTACATCCCTGAAACTAGATTATCTATCCAAATACAATGGGGGGGGGGGAGCAAGAAGGACTTTTCAGCATGAACCAGGAAATGAAGCCAGAGAAAACAAAATACCATTATCTACATTTTCCATTATCCTAAAAACATCTGCCCTTATTTAGGAACCACAAGTACAACAGAAGGCTGCATGCAAACTGCTGTCCTTGCAGCTAGTCAGAACCTGCTGTTACAGAGGAGTCAGGTGAAGAAAGTATAACCACATGATGCTATATGTGTTATCTAAATACTGGACATAGTTTTCTTTGTCCCAAGCAGTAGTATATTGAGCATCATGCTGTGAAAAAGCTTCTTTTTGAATATTAATGGATCTGTCAGATTGGGGGGTACTTATGTTCAAAGAATTCCCTGTTTCTTTTTCATTGGTTCATTACATTCCTACACCTTTCCTTTTTTACAAAGGTATTAGTGTTTATATGAGAGGCAATATGAATGCAATAAACCAGTGTAAAGATGCTTTTGTGCACTGAAAAGGGAATGAGGATCTAATAAATTGTAAATGGATGGAGTTCACCAAACAAATCACTCCCCTTTATCTTCCACCACTCCTGAAAAGGGTAGTATAGGGAAAAATTGACAGAAATCATCTCCTTCCTTCCTGTAGGAGCTCTTCTGTGAAGAGAGCCAGTGCTCATGCAAGAAACTGGGCAACAGTTTCTTCTGATTTCTCCTTCAGGGCATCCCACTCTGTTTCCTAGGGATCCCCAACCTCTGAGGCAGCTTTTTAGTGGGCCCTGGAGACTGCAGGTTGAAAGATCATTCTATGAACTCATCCCACTTATGGTTCATAGTATCTAATCTAAAGAAAGCTAGCCCCATGTAGGGTCTTGGTGGTGGTGGAAAGTGCCTTCAAGTCACAGCTGACTATGGCAACCTCGTAGGGTTTTCAAGGCAAGAGATGTCCAGAGATGTTTTGCCATTGCCTGCCTCTGCCTCATGACCTTAGTATTCCTTGGAGGTCTCCCATCCAAATACTAGCCAAGGCCAACCCTGCATAACTTCTGAAATCTGATGAGATTGGGTTAGCCTGGGCTAACCAGGGCAGGGCGTGTAGGGTCTTAGTTGATAATTATTTCAACATGATTATTTCAGTATTTTTTGCCCCACATTTCTAACTACTGGGATGCAAAGTGGCTTAAAAAGAAACACAAAAACATAATTTAGACAAGCAAAGAGGGAAAATGGAAAACAACTCTGGTTCTGGATACACCGGGCTGGCTCACTCAGTGCTCCAAGCCATGGTCTAAAAGCTAAAGGCCAAGAGCACATGGGTCTTGCCAAAAGGATTTTGCCCTTTTGACCATATCCTGGTTTAAATCCATGTAACAGGAAGATAAAAAGAAATTCAGCTGCCAAACATATCCCCAAGATTCTCCTCCCATGTTAAAATTGCTCCTTTCTGTGCATATTCTACCATACATCTGGAATTCATGTGTGACAACATTCTATATATCACTTAGCAGGTTGAAATAGGTTGTCAAGCAATCCTCAGGTGAGAAAGTTCACCCTGGGGCAGGTGAATAGTATTTATGTGCTTGTTGCAGCTGTCATGGAAAATGTTGAAAGTATCGGATCTTATGGTGTAGTCATAAGGTTCATGAAAGCTGAGGCTAAGCAGGTCCTACAGTGCAATCTTAAACAGAGTAATACTCTTCTAAGTCTACTGAAGTCAATGAGCCTAGAAGGGTGTAATTTTGTTTAGGACTGCACAGCAAGTATGATAAGGGCCTGGATATAAGTTATCCTGGGAGCCTCTAATCCCATGGCAGAAGAACAGATGATATAAATGCTATAAATACATAGTATGACTGCACAGAATTTGACAAATACTGGCATAACACTGTGCTCCTTCTAAGTTTTCATTGCGAAAGAGGATGCAAATATTTAAACACCCTGGAATCCTTCAGGGGGAATGACTGTATGAGCACTGAACTTTATATCCTCTTACTCACACCAGTTGGTCTCATGAAGGTATTCCTTACTATAGTTGTGCTTCTTATTCTCTGGGGGCACACAATAGCAAACCACATTCTGCACCAGCAGTTATCAATATGTTTTCATTCAACTTCTATTTAACTAATGGTATTCTAATTGAATCAGCCTACCCCTGCCAAACTTCACCTCACAGAAGTGGGCAACAACTCTTTAGTACTTCCTTTTGTGTTTTCTTGTAAAATTCTCATTCTCATCCTTAGCCCTAGTGCGAGACAGACAAATGCTCTAAACTTCATCACATATTCCTAGCCATCTCAGAGGGCTTTGAAGCCCAGTTATGCATCCTGCCACACAGACTCGGGTCCTTGCCACAGCCGTGACACTTGTAATGCTCCCACCCTGAACACCCCTGTCAGGTTTCAGTTCTGTAGTCAGCCTTCTCTGTCATTTTATCCACCCAAGCAAATTCCTCTCATGATGTCCATCCGCAGCCATCAATGTGTGTGAAGAAAATGTACTGGAAAGATATTCACTAATGAAACATTTTTTCTATACCAATTTTTTCATACCCTCTCCTTTTGTAACAGAAGAAACATTTGTCAGTGTATTGAAATGCATGTCCAACTTCTGTTAAAAATAAATACTGAGAATACAATGTGGAGATTTTTTTTACAAGCCTTGGGAAGATGTGACCAACCAACACTAGGGAGCATCACAACTGACAAGTCAATGAAGAGTCGCCCATGCTTGAAAAGAAACACCCATAGGATGAAAGTTGCTGTCTTCTGCTTAACTTTGAAACTGTCAGGGCTCATTGAAAATAATGAGGCTTAACAATCATGGCTCTTGCTTTTCAAATGAATGATGATGGCTATAATCGAAATGAGGTAGACCACACCATACATAAGGAATGCAAGATCACTGTGCTTTTTGCTTTACTTTCTCTATTAGTAGGACAGAAAACTACACATGTACTCAATTTTTTACTAGAAGAACCAAAGACAGAAAGTACAACCCCCTCCCCCAAAGAATGGTCAGTGCCTGGTTC